GGACGGGGTAATGGAGGACAGGGACTCGGACGGGGACTGGTGGGAGAGATGGGGACGAGAGCTCCACCCGGGCCAGCAGGCAGCCACCCAGTGCCATCCCTGGGAGGCTGTCCTGGATGCAGACGACACAGTGGGGACCCAGGGCACAATGCAGTCCAGACCCAGGCACTCAGCCCAGCGGGCAGCACCCCTTCCCTTACCTCAGCCCAGGGCTCACTCCTCACAGTCACCTCCCCCTTCTGCTTCTCCTGCCTGGGAGACAGGATGGACGACCAAGGGACACGGGCCAGCAGACAGGGAAGGATGGATGCAGAAGCACAGGGAAGGGCAGACAGCAACAGAGGACGGACAGGTGAACTGTGTGCCTGTCTACATCACCGTTCTTGGTCTGGGGTCGCAGACAGACACCAGGAGGCCGTAAACCCCACCATGGCCCATGCTGTGAATGTCAGCAGCTCTCATGAGGTTCTTCAAGAGGGTTCCTGGCAAAGTCAAGAACCACTGTGGCTCCAGGCCAAACCTCCTGGCTTACAGGTGCACACATTAAGGCCCATAGGGAAGACAAAGACATCCCCCCCCCAAGTCCCCACAAGTGAGCATACCCCCTCCACGAAACAGCCTAAACCCTTCTGGGACTTCCCAGAGGGCTGTCTCCAAATCCATTGTGCTCAGAGCACTGGACGCCACAGCGGGGTGCTGCAAAGCCCCTGCACAGAGGCCCCCACCTAGCCTTACCTTGGTGCGCCCATTGATGACGTAGCTGCCCAGCCGCCCTGCGCAGTGGCGGATGACGGCGTCCACATGGGCCATGAGGGCACCGATGCTTCGGCAGCCTGGTTCATGGCCTTCCACCCAGGCAATCTGGTCCCCACGGATGCTTCGCGGCGGGATCGCCCGCTGGCTGACCAGCTGCCCATCTCGCAGGCGCCCACCCCTTTTGAGGGCCTCCACCTCAGCCAGCACGCGGCCACCCAGTGCTGCCCCCAGGAAGCTGTCCTTGACGCAGATGCCGTAGTACCGCATGCAGGGCACGATATAGTCCAGGGCCAGGCGCTCAGGGGCAGAGGGCAGCACCTCCTCCATTAGCCCAGCGCTGGCCTCACCACTGCCGCTGCTGCAGCCGCAGCTCATACCACCCTCCCGTTGCTCTGCCTCCTGGTTCTCTTGCCTGGCCCAGGGCCGCTTGCTGGGTGGAGGGGCATCCCCACCATCCTCGGCCCATTTCCGTTTGGGGGCCTCAGGCCGGGCACCCTGGGCTGCCAGTCGCTGGCACCCCTTGGTGACCAGCGCTGCAGCACCTTCACTCTGCAGCGGCCGCAGCTCACCACCATCCTGCCCACCAAAACCCTCCCGAAGGGGGCTGGCAGTGGTAGAGGTGGCTGTGGCTCTGGGGGTCCCACTCCCTGCCGAGGCCTCACTGGGCACTCCTGGACAGTGGTAGGAGGGGAGCAAGGGACAGGGCAGGTAACTCTCCACTCCCATCCTGGCCCGGCCAGGCTCCAAGGGCTCTGACGAAGACCCCGGTAACTGAGGGAGAGCCTGACTTAGGGGCTGTGGCTGGCACGGGCTGTCCATGGCAGCAGTGTCTTCATCCCCCGGGCATGGAGGGCACCACCCAGGCCCATGGTGCCACCCTCCTCCGCCTCCACTTGATGCAGCTGGGGGCCACCGGGCCTGGCGTGGGGCAGGGTGAGGCAGGGCAAACAGCGAGAGCTCTTCTGGTGCCCCGGGGATTGCTTGCAGGTCCCCAAGTCCTCTGCCGTCCCTAAGGGCTTGGGAAGGGACCCTTCAGGGTGGCTAAAGAAAGGAAAAAAAAGGGATGTGAGAGGAGCTAGAGACGGGCAGGCAGGGGAAAGGGGGGATGGTATGGGCAGCGGGGCTGATGGTATGGGCAGCAGCGGGGAAGGCAACCAGTACAGACTTGGCTATAGAGACTCCCCAAAACCTGAGGCCAAGTCCGGGAAAGGACCCTGATAATCTGGGGGTGCGGGAGTCTGCTGACAGTCAAGCGGCAGTGATGGGGAGAGGCTGGAGGTCAGAGGCTGGGTAGATGACCCCAAGACAGGACTGTGGGGTGGGCTGTGGGATGCAGTAACCACACACACGGAGTAGAAAAGGGTGCTGTGGAGAGGTGGGGAAGAGGGGGTTTGCAAAATACGAGGGATCTGCCTTGGCGTTCCAGAGAGGCACAGAGAAATGTGGGGGATCCAGAGACAGAGTTGGGGGTGGCGGGGTCAACAGAGGAAACTGGGGAGTCCAGGGACAAAGAGACCCAGGGACCCAGGGACCGAAAAACAGACCGGAGGGAAGCTGGGAGGGAGGGACCGGGACGGAGCGGGGCGGTGGGGTCGACCCGAGCCCGACGGGAGGAAGCCGGCCAGGGGAGGACACACATCCAGACGGAAGGGAGGTCCCGAGACCGACCGACGGGAGGGGCCTTCGGGGAGAGGGTCCGCGGCGACAGAGGGAAGAACGAAGGAGGGTGCACCCACTCCGAGACAGGACGAGGGAAAAAGTCGCCCCCCTCCCGGGTACCCCCAGGCTCCCCACCGGGGGCGGGCCCTGCGGCCCCTTCTGAGCTGTAGGCGACGGGGACAGGGCCTAGGGACCGCTCCGACCCCCTCCCTTCCCCCTCCCCTCGGCCTAAGCCCGGCTCGCGCACCCCGCCCCCGCCCCACCCCCCAACCGCCGGCACCCAACATCCCCGGCGCGCGTCCCCTCCCCCGCGCCGCACCCCCCATCCCCCTCCCAGGGGTAGCACCCGCGGGCCCCGGAGCGCGCCCCCACGCCTCGCCCAGCTCGCGCCGGCGTCCGGGCTCCGACTCTGTCTCCTCCCTGCGCCCTTCTCGCCCCGCAACCTCCTCACCGAGCTTTTTCCTCCGGCCCCGGCGCCGCCGTTTGTGCCAGCCGCCCTGCGCCTCACAGCGCGCCATGCCCCGCCCCCACCGCGGGCGACGCCCCGCCCCGCCTCGCCTCGCCCGGTGGGCACGTGACCGCGCCCCGCGGAGGGGACAGCGCCTGCGCAGGCCCGACCCGCGCGGGGCGGGGCGAGGAAGTTCGGGACCACCCCCCAACACCCGGGCGAAAGGAAACTGGGGTCCTTGGCAGACACGAGGTTCATTTGCATCCTCCGCCCCTCCCCCTTCGCGCGGGTGGGGGAACGCAGTGAGAGGGGCCGGCTGTGGGAGGGGGCGTTTCTTGCTTGTTGGAATCTAGCGGCGTCGGCGGGGCGGGGCACGCAAATGACGTGATTTACATGGAGAGGCCCACCCCCCCTCCCCATCCCCCTGCGCGGAGCACCGGGTCCGGGACCACGGTGCGCATGACTTCATTTACATGGTCAGCTCCTCCTCCTCGCTGCCCAGGAACGGGGGGTGGGAGATGGAGAAATGGCTGCGCTGTTGGGGAACGTATGTAAATTCACACGCCAGTAAATAATTTACACAAGTATCTTTTATAAGGCCGGACGCCCTTGAGAAAAGGGAACGCGGACTAGAATGGATGTGCAAATGTGTATCTTAAAGACACGCTCCGCCCTGCCCCGTGGGAATCAGAATAAAGAACCAGGGAAAGCCTGGGCAACAGAGGGAGACCTCATCTTAACACAAAATTTTTAAATGAAAACAAAAAAAAATCCACGTAAAGCTACACGGAGGAGAAGAAGACATTTGCATGACCAACTGGAAACATTTTGGGGGAATACAGAGAGAAGGTCATTTTGAATGCGCCGCCCCCTCCACCATCGCTCTGGAGAGTTGGGACTCAAGGCTCCCTCGGGGCCGGTGAAGGGGGTCGTAGGGGTGGGAGGGCAACAAGCAACTGGGAGTGTCCTCAGAGGGCTGCACCAGTCCCCAGCAGGCCACCTGAGTGGGGGTAGGGAGCGGTGCGTGAGCACAAGGACATGCATACTGGTATCCACACATGCATGACGATTGCACAGAAGCCCGCAGTCCCGAGGGCACACACAGGGTTCATGGCCACACAAGGGTGTTTCTTGTTTAGTTCTGAAGTGGGGTCTTACCCTTTTGCCCAGGCTGGAGTGCTGTGGCACAATCACGGTTCACTGCAACCTCAACCTCCCAACTAAAGTGATCCTCACACCTCAGCCTCCCGAATAGCCAGGACTTCAGGTGTGTACCACCACGCCTGGCTAACTTTTGTTTTTTTCTTTTTGAGACAGTCTCGCTCTGGCGCCAGGGTGGAGTGCAATGGCGCAATCTTGGCTCACTACAACCTATGCCTCCCGGCTTCAAGCGATTCTCCTGCCTCAGCCTCCTGAGTAGCTGGGATACAGGCACGTGCCACCACCACAGCCAGCTAATTGTTTTGCATTTTCAGTAGAGATGGGGTTTCACCATGTTGGCCAGGATGGTCTTGATCTCTTGACCTCGTGATCTGCCTGCCTCGGCCTCCCAAAGTGCTGGATTACAGGCCTAAGCCACCACTCCTGGCCACATGTGGGTGTTTAAAAAGAGCCAAATTCACACCAAAACACAAACAGTCCTCAAGGGCACATATGCACAGGCACATACACAGTAATGAGTCACTGCCTACGACTTTCAGTCATGAGACACGCAGACTAGAGGCACACCTATAGGCCCAAATGCCCATCCCCTGGCCTTGATGTCCCAAACAATCCCAGCCTCACCAATACAATCACCGAGGCCACAGAGCAGTTACAGCTATCTGCATCACACACGACCAGCACACATTCCTGTAGACATCATCCCATACACAGGTTACTGGAAACATGTATGCATGTCACAAACACAGGGACGTCAGCATGTTGACACACTTGAGCCTGGAACACAGACTGTCACACTGTCCACCCAGTAACAAATTCCCTCCCTCTGCAACAGGCACCTGGGTCATCATCATGCTTGGTATAGCCCTTACCATATCCAATCCAGAAACAAGGCCCTCAAACACCATGACCCATGAGTCTTCTGTCAGGGACCTCTTCCATCACCCTGCCATCCAGGAATAACGGAGGCCAGACACAGGTGTAAACAATGCTTTATGGGAGTAGGGTGGAGCTGGACAGGCCTCCAGGTAATAAATAACAGGTACTAGCAACAGCGGGGCCAGGCAGGCAACTGGGGACAAATGACCCTGGTCTCAGGCTTTGGGAGCTCTTGGGGTATGGTTAGGGGTTCAGGGGGACAGAGGTTAGCCAAGACAGAGGAAGCAGCAGCAGGTACGGATTCCCCTTCCCCCGTGGCTCAGTCTTGCCCCAAAGCCAGGCCCCACCAGGCCAGGGAAGGGGGACAGGTGGCGGCACAGCTCCTCTGGGGCCACGGCAGGTTGGGACACAGCCTCTCAGAGCCTGGGCCTGGGCCCCAGCCAGAAGGGCAGGGCTGGTCCTGGAGAACAGGTGAGCTGAAAGAGAAGGGTGTGGTGACCTGCAGGGTCCTGAGGTCTGTCCAGCTGGTCTCTGCCTCATTTCCAGGTATTTCCCTGCCTATCTGTATTGGTCTGTTCATACCTTTCTTCTCCCAGTTTCCACACTGTCTGATTTTCTCTCTCTCTCCTGCAGGTAATTTGGGGCTTATGCTGAGGGTACCTGCATCTCCCTGTTTGTTTGCCTCAGAGAGCTGAGTCTGTAAAGCCAGATTTCAACATCTAATAAATATCACATATCTGGCTAGATGCAATGGCTCATGCCTGTAATCCCAGCACTGTGGGAAGCCAAGGCAAGAGGATCATTTGAGCCCAGGAGTTTGAGACCAGCCATAGGCAACACCACAAAACCCTGTCTCTACAAAAAAATACAAACATTAGCCGGGAGTAGTGGCATGTGCCAGTGGTCCCAGCTACCTGGGGGCCTGAGGTGGGAAGATCACTTGAGCCTGAGAAGTGGAGGTTACAGTGAGCCAAGATTGTGCCACTGCACTCCAGTCTAGGCAACAGAGTGAGACTCTGTCTCAAAAAAATAAAAATATAATGAACCTGCCTTTGTATCTCTCTGTGTCCCTCTATGCTCCTGGATCACCCTGATTCTTTTTTTTTTTTTTTTTTTTTTAAATAGAGACAGGGTTTCACCATATTGGCCAGGCTGGTCTCAAACTCCTCATTTTGTGATCCACCCGCCTCCACCTCCCAAAGTCTGGGATTAAAACTTTGGGAGCCTAAGGTGGAGGGCTGCTTGAGGCCAGGAATAACTGGCTAACACAGTGAGACCCGATCTCAAAGAGAAAAAAAAAGGGAAAAGAGGCCAGGTATGGTGGCTCCCACCTGTAATCCCTGCACTTTGGGAGGCTGAGGTGGGTGGATCATTCGAGCTCAGGAGTTCGAGACCAGCCTGAGCAACATGGTGAAACCCCATCTCTTCAAAAAATAAAAACATAAAAATTAGCCAGGTGTGGTGGTGCACACCTATAGTCCCAGTTACTTGGGGAGCTGAGGTGGGAGGATCACTTGAGCCCAGGAGGTCAAGGATGCAGTGAGCTGAGATGGTGCCACTGCACTCCAGCCTGGGTGACAAAGTGAGACACTTCTCAAAAAAAAGAAAAAGAAAAAGAATGTTATATTGACCAACAGAAACAGAAAACAAATTGGTGGTTGCCAGGGGCTGGGGGAAATGGAGAGTGACTGCTTGATGGGTATGGGGTTTCCTTTAGGGTAATGAATTAGGGTTCTGAGGCTGGGTGGGTAGCTCACACCTGTAATCCCAGCACTTTTGGAGGCCAAGGCAGGCGGATTACCTGAGGTTGGGAGTTCAAGCCCAGCCTGATTAACATGGAGAAACCCTGTCTCTAATAAAAATGCAAAAATTACCGGGACATGGTGGCACACGCCTGTAATTCCAGCTACTCCAGAGGCTGAGGCAGGAGAATCGCTTGAACCCAGGAGGCAGAGGTTGCAGTGAGCTAAGATCATGTGATTGCACTCCAGCCTGGGTGACAGAGTGAGCCTCTGTCTCAAAAAAAGAAAACGTCTGAAACAACACAGAGGTGGTGGTTGCACAATCCTGTGAATGCACTGAATTCCACTGAATTGTACACTTTGAAAAGTTACGTCAATTTATGTTATGTGACTCTCACTTCAGTGACAAAAAACGAAATAATACTGGTGGTAGGAAAATGTGTGTTTGAGTTTTATAGATGGGTGGGATCTGCTACAATCAGTCCTAGATCAACATGTAAAATATATTTCCTCCTGCAGATTGCAATGAACAAAGTATGAAAAAGCCTTGCCTTGTTACATTTGACCTACTGAGGGTAAGTAGGAAAGAATCTCTGCTAAACCCTGAGGCAAAGAAGACACACCATTCATTTGAGCTCAGCCCAAAGATGGATAAGAAGAAAACTTTAGCCGGGCGTGGCGGCTCATGCCTATAATCCCGGCACTTTGGGAGGCCAAGGCAGGTGGATCACCTGAGGTCAGGAGTTCCAGACCAAAGGCTGGCCAACATGGTGAAATGCAACCCCATCTCTACTAAAAAGACAAAAAAATAGCCGGGCGTGGTACAGGCACCTGTAATCTCAGCTACTCAGGAGGCTGAGTCAGGAGAATCACTTGCACTCGGAAGGCAGAGGTTGCAGTGAGCCAAGATGGAACCATTGCACTCCAGCCTGGGAGACAAGAGCGAGACTTTGTCTCAAAAAACAACAACAACAACAAAAACCAGCTCTCAATGATCAAGTCTTGACCATCAGGCCCCATTCTGAACACTTTGCATAAACTGACTTATTTCATCTTCTCACCACCTATTGAAGTAGGTGCCATTATTAGCCTCATTTTACAGATGAGCAAACTGAGGTTTGGGCACAGCAGGTGCAAAGTCTTGGGAGGACAAGAGAGCACTGTCCAAAGACATCATCCTTGACTCCTCTCTCTTTCAGACTCCAGATCCATTCCATCAGGAAATCACGTGGGCTCTGCCTTCCAAGGAGACCCAAAGTCTAACCCCTGTTACCCACAGCCCCCCTAGAAATGCCAAGGGCTGGGAGTGGATTGAGCATGAAGTACAGAGGGGAGAACTGGCAAGACATACACATGCCCCAGAGAGGTGGGGATGGGACCAAATCCTGCAGGGCTCTGAAAACCCGTCAAGAAGTTTGCGGCAGGCCGGGCGCGGTGGCTCAGGCCTGTAATCCCAGCACTTTGAGAGGCCAAGGCGGGTGGATCACGAGGTCAAGAGATCGAGACCATCCTGGTCAATGAGGTGAAACCCCGTCTCTACTAAAAATACAAAAATTAGCTGGGCATGGTGGCGTGTGCCTGTAATCCCAGCTACTCGGGAGGCTGAGGCAGGAGAATTGTTTGAACCCAGGAGGCGGAGGTTGCGGTGAGCTGAGATGGCGCCATTGCACTCCAGCCTGGATAACAAGAGCGAAACTCAGCCTCAAAAAAGAAAAAGAAGTTTGGGGCCAGGCACGGTGGCTTATGCACTTTGGGAGGCCAAGTCGGATGGACCACTTAAGGCCAGGAGTTTGTGAACAGCTGGCCGACATGGTGAAATCCTGTCTCTACTAAAAATACGAAAAGTTAGCCAGGCGTCGGGGGCCCGCGCCCACGGTCCCAGTTACTCAGGAGGCTGAGGCACCAGAATCGCTGGAACCCAGAAGCGGAGGTTGCAGTGAGCTGAGATCGTACCACTGCACTCCAACCTAGGTGACAGAGCGAGACTCTATCTCAAAAACAAGAAGTTTGGACCAAGCGTGGAGGAAGAGGTAGTGCTTCCTGGAGGAGGGAAGGAGGTTGCCAGGGAAAAAGGGGAGGAACGGCCCAGCATGAGCAAGGGCCCAGGGGAATGGGAAGAACTCCAGTGCTACTGGAGCGGCCTGAGACCTAGGGAGCAGTACAAGGGGCTGAGGCAGGTGAGGCTGGGCTGGCAGGGGCCAGTCCCTGCAGAGGGTCCAACACCAGGCTGAGGAGCTTCAGCTGTGTCCTGGGACCGGGAGAGCCATGGAAGGTTCTGAACAAGGGAGCGACAGGAGCAGACGTGTGTTAGAAAGACCCAGTGGCCACATCCCAGCACCTTGGGAGGCCAAGGCGGGTGGACCTCCTGAGGTTAGGAGTTTGAGATCAGCCTGGCCAACATGGCAAAACCCCATCTCTACTAAAAATACAAAAATTAGCCAGGAGTGGTTGTGCATGCCTATAATCCCAGCTACTTGGGAGGCGGAGGCAGAGGAATCACTTGAACCTGGGAGGCGGAGGTCACAGTGAGCAGAGATGGCAACACTACACTCCAGCCTGGGCAACAGAGTGAAATTCTGTCTCAAAAAAAAAAAAAAAAAGAAGGGCCAAGACTGGAAGTCAGAGTGTCTAGGGAGGACACGGACCCTATTCCCATCTCGGCCACTCCTGCCCCCTTGTCCACTGTCTCTCCCCTGGCCTATGTAGTTTCCTCTCTGGTGTCCTGGTGACCCCCTCTATTCCTCACAGTCTCTTCCCTTTATGCAGCCAGAGGGACCCTGTGAACCTCTGAATCAGGTCCTGTCCCTCCTCTGTTCAGAAGCCTCCTGTGGCTTCCACACAGGGTGTAAGCCAGAGGCCTCCCCAGGGTCCACAGGCCCTAACTGATCTGCTTCCTCCAACCACTGACCCCATCATGCTATACCCCCAAAACACACACAGGTCCTCCATGACGACCACGCTGGCTGCTTCGGTCACCCTCACCCACGCCAGGCATGCTCCTCGCTCAGGCGTTGCACTTACTGAGCTCTCTGCCTGCAGTGCTCTGCCCCATGTCCCCATAGGTCTCCCTGTCTTCCCTCCTTTACTCAAATGCCATCTTCTCAGTGAGGCTTCCCTCATCATCTTGTTTAAAGTACACTCTTGAGCCAGGCGCAGTGGCTCACGCCTGTAATCCCAGCACTTTGGGAGGCCGAGGCGAGTGGATCACCTGAGGTCAGGAGTTTGAGACCAGCCTGGCCAACATGCTGAAACCCTGTCTCTACTAAAAATACAAAAATTAGCTGGGTGTGGCAGCAGGCACCTGTAATCTCAGCTACTCGGGAGGCTGAGGCTGGAGAATCACTTGAATCTGAGAGGCGGAGGTTGCAGTGAGCGGAGATCATACCACAGCACTCCAGCCTGGGAGACAGAGCAGTACCCCAGCTCAAAGGAAAAAAATGGCCAGGCACGGTGGCTCACACCTGTAATCCTAGCACTTTGGGAGGCCAAGGTGGGTAGATCATCTGAGGTCAGGAGTTCAAGACCAGCCTGGCCATCAGGGTAAAACCCCATCTTAAAAAAAAACAAAAAACAACATACATTTCTCCACCCTATCCACCCTCCGTGAATGTCTTTTCTCCATAGTGCTTAACCTCCCTCACTACTACAAACTTTACTTATGTATCTTATGTATTTCTTTCCTTTTTTTTTTTTAAGACAGAGTGTTGCTCTGTCCCCCAGGCTGGAGTGCGGTGGCACAGGGTCACAGCTCATTGCAGCCTCGAACTTCTGGGCTCAAGCCATCCTCCCAGGGATCTCAGCCTCCAAGTAGCTGAGACTACAGGCACAGAGCACCGTACATGGCTAATTTAAAAAAATTTTTGTGGAGATGAGGTCGCTTTGTTGCCCAGCCTAGTCTGAAACTGATCCTCCCATCAGCCTCCCAAAGTGCTGGGAATATAGTGGGGAGCCACCGTGCCCAGCCGACTTACATCTCTTGTTTATCATGTTTCCCTCCAAAAGAATGTCAGCTCCATGAGGGTGGGAGCCTGTGTTACTCTCTGCCATATTCCCAGTGCCTTGGGCAGGGCCTGGCATACAGCAGGCACTCTAATCGTTGGAGAACTATGAATGGGAGGGTCAAGTTCTAGGGCAGGAAGCTGGCCTGGGGCTGGATGGTACAGGTGGATTCCCTGTGGCCCAGAAGATGTCTCTTTTTCTTATTCTTCTTCTTTTTTTGAGATGGAGTCTCATTCTGTCACCCAGGCTGGAGTACAGTGGTGTGATCTCAGCTCACTGCAACCTTCGCCTCCCAGGTTCAAGCAAATTCTCCTGCCTCAGCCTCCTAAGTAGCTGGGATTACAGGCACGCATCACCATCCCCGGCTAATTTTTGTATTTTTAGTAGAGACAGGGTTTCATCATATTGGTTAGGCTGGTCTCAGAACTTTTGACCTCAGATGATCCATCTGCCTCGGCCTCCCAAAGTGCTGGGATTATAGGCGTGAGCCCACCCCTACCCCACTTTTTTTTTTTTTTTTTTTGAGACAGAGTCTTGCTCTGTCACCCAGGCTGGAATGCAGTGGCTCAGTCTCCTCTCACTACAACCTCCATGTCCTGGGTTCAAGCAATTCTCCTGCCTCAGCCTCTCGAATAGCTGGGACTAAAGGTATGTACTACTATGCCCGGCTAATTTTTATATTTTTAGCAGAGAAGGGGTTTCACTGTGTTGGCCAGGATGGTCTCCAACTCCTGACCTTATGTGTCTTTTTCTCTTAGTGCCCCTTCATCACATGCAACCCCTCTGCCTGTGTCCCCTCATCCCACCCTGACCCTCTGCCTCTGCCTGCCCTATCCCATCCCTGATCCCTCTGGCTGTGTCCCCCAAGCTGGCCCTGACCCCTCTGGGCTTCTCCCCTGCTGGCTCTGACCCCTCTCTCCCAATGCTTCCCCATTTGGCCCTGACCTGAGCTGTCACTGTCTGAAGTGGGTCTGTCCCCGCACCCCCACCCACTGAACTGCCTCCACCCGTGTGGGCCTCCCAAAGTTCTGGGATTATGGGCATGAGCTGCTGCAGCAGGTGCCTCCTTTGGCTTGTGTGTTTTGCATCATTTTCTCTCATGTGCTTCTCTTGTCATCACATGTTCTGTGTCTGTCTCCACACCATCTCCTCCATTCCCAAGAGTCTACCCTGCCTCCCTAAACCCCCAGTGTCCCACCTGGCTCCACAGGGCTCAGCAGCCACACGGCTGAGGGGCCACGGCCTGGGCGCTCCGAGGCTGCCGGAGCTGGCGGAGAGATGCATCCCCGTACTGAATGCCAGAGCCCATCCTCTCAGGGTCCAGCTCGCCTGCGGGGAAGGGGAGAGGTCAGCACTGGTCGCCTGGAGACCCCTGGGCCTGCCCTCCGCTCCCACTCGGGCCGGTTGGGGCCTCACCTGAGTCAATCTTGTTGAGGATGGTGCGGGCACACTTGAGAAACGCCTCCTCCACGTTCTCGCCCGTGAGAGCGCTGGTCTCCAGGAACATCAGCTCTGCAGCGGCACACATTCCAAGGTCAGGGCCCCGGTCAATCCCCACCCTCCACTGAGCTCTTACCTGCTTACTCTCATCCTGTTCCGCCAACATCCCATCCCCGCTTGCCCTCACCTCGGGCCTGCCACTAACATCCGATGCCCTATATACCCACCCAGCTCTTCCTTCAGAGCTCAGCTCCCATAGCTCCTCCCCCAGGAAGTCCTCCCTGACTTCCCAGGCCAGGTCAGGTGCCTATTTAGGGCTATGACAGCTTCCTGTGGCCCCATATCCTGGTCCTGACCCCTCTGGTTATGCCTCCTCATCCTGGTCCCAACCCTCTGCCTGGGTCCCCATCCCACTCCGCTGACCCTTCTGCCTGGGCCTGCCCCATTCCATGCCTGACCACTCTGCCCATAAGCCACCACACCCAGCTCCCCAATCCCATGCAACTGCTCTGCCTGTCTCCCCCAATCCTGGCCTTGACCCCTCTACCTGGGCCCCCCATCCCACCCCTGATCCCTCTGCCCAGGCCCCCCATTCCATATAACTCCTCTGCCTGTGTCCCCTCATCCCACCTGACCCCTCTGCCTGTGCTCCACCATCCCAGCCCTGACCCCTCTGCCTGTGTCCCCTCATCCCACCCGACCCCTCTGTCTGTGCTCCACCATCCCAGCCCTGACCCCTCTGCCTCTGCCTGCCCTATTGCAGCCCTGACCCCTCTGCCTGTGCTCCCCATCCCACCCCGATCCCTCTGCCTGCTCCCCCCAATCCTGGCCCTGATTCCTCTCTTCCAGCCCTGACTTTTCTGGGCTGTCACTGTCTGGAAGTGGATCTGTCCTTCCACCCTCCACCTACTGAACTGTGAACTCCATGCATGTTAGGCCTAGGGCTGTCTCCAACAGTGTCCCCAGCACCATCCAGGGCAGGCACAGGCCAACTAGTCTACCCATAGCTGTGTGGCAAGGCCCCACAGTCAGAAAGTTAGAGCCAATTCACACCCACACCTCTCTGATGGCAAGACCTCCTTTAAACCTGGAGGTTACAAAACAGGGGAACATAGGCAGATCTCAAGCCAGCAGATGTAGGTGGTTTGGCCAACAGTGTTTTCAAATGAGTTTACACTTGCAAACCTTTTTCTTTGTTTTTTCTTTGGGACAAGGTCTCACTCTGTCCCCTAGACTGGAGTGCAGTGGTGTGATCACTCCTGGGCTCCAGTGATCCTCCTGCCTCAACCTCCTGAGTCACCAGGACCCCACAGCCACATACCACCACACCCAGTTTTTTTGTTTGTTTGTTTGTTTGTTTGTTTTTTGTAGAGGTTGGGTCTTACTCCGTCGCACAGGGTGGTCTCAAACTCCTGACATCAAATGATCCTCCTACCCTGGCCTCCCAAAATGTTGAGATTACAGGTGCGAGCCACTGCGGTTGGCCCTTGCAAACCTGGTGTGGGCTGTCAGTATGCTGCATTTCCCTTAGCACCACTACCTGTCACCCTAGGATCTACCCCATCCATCTCCTGTATTCAAAAATGCGCCTTTGGGCCGGGCACAGTGGCTCATGCCTGTAATCCCAGCACTTTGGGAGGCTGAGGCGGGCGGATCATGAGGTCAAGAGATCGAGACCATCCTGGCCAATATGGCGAAACCCTGTCTCTATAAAAAAAAGACAAAAATTAGCTGGGCATGGTGGCATGCACCTGCAGTCCCAGCTAGTCAGGGGGCTGAGGCAGGAGAATTGCTTGAACTCAGGGATTAGAGGTTGTGGTGAGCCGAGACTGTGCCAGTGCATTCCAGCCTGGTGAGAGCAAGACGCCATCTCAAAAACAAAAACAAAAACAAAAACCCCAATATGCTGCGCTGCCTCCCCACGGTAGGCGAAACCTCAGCAGCCAACATTAATCTAGCACCCCCTCTGTGGCAGGTGCTGAGGACTTTCAACCAACAATCTCCCTGAATCAAGCATCACAGCACACTGTGAGGCAGAAACACTGTGACCCCACTTTCCAGATGAGGAAACTGAACCAGTGTAATCACACAGCTCACCAGTGGCAACACTTACAATTTTTTTTTTTTTTTTTGAGACAGGGTCTTGCTCTGTCTCCCAGACAGGAGTACAACGGCATGATCACGGCTCACTGCAGTCTTAAACTCTCAGGCTCAGTTAATCCTCCTGCCTCAGCCTCCACTGTAGCTGGGACTACAGGCATGAGCCACCACACCCAGCTGATTTTTAAAATGTTTTTGTAGAGATAGGATCTCACTTTGTTGTCCAGGCTGGTCTCAAACCCCTGGGCTCAAGCAATCCTCCCACCTTGGCCTCCCAAAGTGCTGGGATTATAGGTGTGAGCCACCATGCCCAGCCAACAATCAAATGTGAACCCAGACCACTGAATCTCCACGTTCCCCTGCTGGGCACGGCCACTAAGAGGCAGGAAATCCACAATCCCTGTGGACCGTCCACCCCGCCACCACCTGGCCCACCACACAGCCCTTACCATTCTCCTGGGCAAAGCGAGAGGCCTCCAGGAAAGTGACCTCCCGCTCAGGGTCCAGGTCCTTCTTGTTGCCACAGAGGATGACCACAATGTTGGGGCTGGCCAGCGTGCGGGCATCCGTCAGCCAGGCAGCCAGTGAGTTGTACGTCTCCCGGCTGTGGAGAAGGGGGAGGGGAGGGAGGCGGTGCAGGAGAGGGGCCACCCATGCCCTGCCTCACCCACTCCAGGTACCCACCTGGTGATGTCGTATACCAGCAGGGCTCCAGCTGCCCCTCGGTAATAACTCCGCGTCACTGACCTGCGGGGCCAGGGGAACCCAGTCACCCCCAAGGCTGGGGTCTGCCCTGAGAGTGCCCCACTCTGCGGAGAGAGACTGGTGGTTCGGAAGCCCCCCTCCACTGCTGGCCCACGCCCCAAAACCTGGCCTTGGTCCGGTCGCCATGCAATTCCTCTCTTCCTGTATCCTTGCAGTCTGCCTCTCTTTACCTTTCTCAGCTTCTATTTCACTCAGCTGGCCCGCTGCCTCTGTCTGTGAGTCTCCCTGTCTTTCTCTCTCCCTGTGTCCCTGTCTTTTCATTGGTCTGTTTTCCTCTCCGTTTCTCTTTCATGTGTGTCTTTATTTATTTATTTACTTATTGACTGACTGATTGATGGTCTTGCTCTGTAGCAGGCATTATCTTGGCTCATTACAGCCTCGATCTCCTCAGTTTGGTCTCCCAAGAGAGGGATCCTTCCACCTCAGCCTCTGAAGTATCTGGGACTACCAGTGTGCACCACTGTATCTGGCTAATTTTTCTTTCTTTTTTTGAAAGGGAGTTTTGCTCTTGTTGCCGAAGTGCAATAGCGTGATCTCGGCTCACTGCAACCTCCACCAACCTCCACCTCCCAGGTTTAAGTGATTCTCCTGCCTCAGCCTCCTGAGTAGCTGAGATTACAGGTGCCCACTACCACGCTTGCTTAATTTTGTATTTTTAGTAGAAATGGGGTTTCTCCATGTTGGTCAGGCTGGTCTTGAACTCCTGACTTCAGGTGATCCACCCACCTCAGCCTCCCAAAGTGCTGGGATTACAGGCATGAGCCACCTCACCCAGCCTAATTTCTTCATATTTTTTATAAAGATGGGGTTTTGCTATGTTGCCCAGGCTGGGCTCCAACTCCTGGGCTCAAGTGATTCTCCTGCCTTGGCCTATTGGCCTATGGGTCTTTTTTTTTTTTGAATGGGAGTCTCTCTCTGTCACTTAGGCTGGAGTGCAGCGGCAAGATCTCAGCTTACTGCAAACCTCCACCTCCAGGGTTCAAGCGATTCTCCCACCTCAGCCTCCCGAGGTGCCAGGATTACAGACTCACACCAGCACATCTGGCTAGTTTTTATATTTTTAGTAGAGATGAGGTTTTGCCATGTTGGCCAGTCTGGTCTCGAACTCCTAACCTCAAGTGATCCACCCACCTCAGACTCACAGAGTGCTGGGATTACAGGCCTGAGCCACCGTGCCCGGCCCTGTGTGTCATTTATTTATTTAGAGATAAAGTTTTGCTCTGTCGCCCAGGCTAGAGTGCAGTGGCGTGATCTTGGCTCACTGCAATCTCTGCCCGCCCCCTGAATTCAAGTGATTCTCCTGCTTCAGCTTCCCAAGTAGATGGGGTTATAGGCATCCACTGCCACACCCAGCTAATTTTTGTATTTTTAGTAGAGACAGGGTTTGGCCGTGTTGGACAGTCTGGTCTTGAACTCCTGACCTCAAGTGATCCACCTGCCTTGGCCTCCCAAAGTGCTGAGATTATAGGTGTGAGCAACCATGCCCAGCTGTGTCTATCAACTTTTCTGCAGGCATTTCCTGAAGACCTACTGTGCGCTGGGCTCTACACATTTCTCTCTCTCTCCCACAACACATCCATCTCTCCATCTCTCTTTTGGAAAGACGGGATTTCTCGATATTGCCCAGGCTGTTCTCAAACTCCTGGACTGAAGCGATTCTCCTGCCTTGGCCTGCGTGTCTTCAGTTTCCCATTTCTCACTGTCTTTTTTTCTGTTCTGTCTCTGTGGCTCTCTCATGCTCACCCTTGTCTTCCCATAAAGGGGAAGACAATGTTGGGGCTGGCCAGCGTGCGGGCATCCGTCAGCCAGGCAGCCAGTGAGTTGTTAATTCATTCAACTATACCTGTCCAACACTCCCTGTCTCCCTCTCTGCCTCTGACCTCTGTTTTTTGGTGTCTTCTCCTCTCCCTTATTGATTTATTTATTCATTCATTCATTCATTTATTGAGACAGTCTGGCTCTGTTGCCCCTGCCTCAGCCTCCTGAGTAGCTGGCATTACAGGTATGTGCCACCAAGGCCTGGCTAAATTTTTTTTTGTATTTTTAGTAGAGACAGGGTTTCACCATGTTGACCAGGCTGGTCTTGAACTCCTGACCTCAAGTGATCCACCCACCTCAAGCCTCCCAAAGTGCTGGAATTATAGGTGTGAGCCATAGGCACCTGGCCTCATTAACCCCCCTTATCTTTCTCTTCAACTCTCTTAGTCTCTGTCTCTTCTCTTTTCCTTTTTGAGTGTGTGTCTCTCAAGTTTCTCCTTCTCTGTTTTAGTGTCTCTCAGTCTCTATCCCTTGCCCCATCTCCAAGCCTCTCTTCCTCTATCTATTTTTCTTTCTTTGTAATGGGGTCTCACTGTGTTGCCCAGGCTGGTCTCAAACTCCTGGGCTTAGGCAGTTTTCCTACCTCAGCCTCCCAAAGCACAGAGACTACCAGCATGAGCCACTGCACCTGGCCCCTACCTCTTTTTCTCCTGCTGTCTCTTTCTCTCACCAGTACTCCCTCTCTCTCTGCAGATATATGTACCTGCTAACTACAGTGTCTCTTCTCTCTCTCTGCCTTGTATGCCCCCTCAGTGTCTCCAAGTGACTCTGCACACACATCTCTCTCTCTCTTTCCTTCTCTCTCTCTCCCCATAACCTTTGGGAGCCCAGCCCACCTACCGAAACCGCTCCTGGCCAGCCGTGTCCCAAATCTGTAGCTTCACAGTCTTCCCACCCACGTTGACCACCCGGGATCCGAACTCCACGCCGATCGTGTGGTTGGAGTCCTGTTTGACTGGGAGTGGGAGGAACAGAAGGGGCAGTGCAGGGAGAGAGGAGACAGCTCCGAGGATCCCCCATCCTCCAAGGCCCTCTCAGTCTCTACAAACCCATTCTCATTACTGGAGTGACTGAGGCCAAGGAGAACCTAGTAAAGGACATATGACAAAGCAAAGGCCAAAAAGCCAGCACCGGACTTGTACTACCTACGGCCAGCCCTGCCCTCCCCAACGACTGCCCACCTGCCCACACCATGCCCAGCTCAGGGTTCCCAGGACCACTGCGGGAAACTCACACTTATTCTCAATGAACTGATGAAGGAGACATGATTTGCCAGTTCCTGCACTGCCGATCACCAGGAATTTGAAGAGGAAGTCTGACCAGATGGAGTCAAAATCAGGGATACCCACAGGGAGAGAAAGATACAGGGAAAAAGATGGAATCCAATCCAATCTCTCCCTCTAACCTTCATGGTTACAGGGAGAGAACACACACAGACACAAAGCAATAGGTAACAGTAACAGATAGCTCTTATGCAGTACTACCCACATGCCAGGCACATTCTATATGTTTTTCAACTTTTATTTTAGGTTCAAGGGGTACATGTGCAGATTTGTTACATGGGTAAATTGTGTGTTGTTGTGGGCCAGGCATAGTTCTAAAGGTCTTTACTCACATCAAGAGCTCACATCACCCTCAAGAAAACACTATGAGGGAGGTAAACTAAAAATTATTCCCCTTTTTCCACATGAGGAAGCAGGCCAGAGAGGTTAACTGAATTGCCCAAAGAGACACAGCTAGGCAGAAGTGAGAGTCAAACCCAGGAAAAGGGGCTCCAGAGTCCCACGTCTTAGCTATTTTGTCGCTAAAGTCTCTTGAAAGCTATTTAATCAAGGACTACGATCTAGCCCTTGTTCCGCTTCACCTCCTACCACCCTCTGACTCATTCACTCCACTATAGCTCCTGGCCTTCAGCCCATTCCCTGAAAATGACAAGCTGGTTCTCACCTCAGGGTCTTTGCACCCTTTTCCCCTCATCTATATTTGTTGAATGAATGCGGCTCCCTCTGACTCCTAAACCAGCGCTTCCCCCGCCTCCAACCACCACCTCCTATGGTACATCCCTACTGATTTTGCACTTCCCGACCTCTCCTTCCCTCCCTCTGTCCAGACCCTGGCTTCATTCTCAAGCGTAAACCCCATCCCTTGCCACTAAGTCCTGCCCCTAACTCAAGGACAGTCCATCCCCAACCCCATTCTAGAGCTCTCTCAATCTAGATCAGCCCGAGGGTCCTGAGCTTCCATTCAGGTTTCCTTCTAGCCCATAAACCTGACTCCTGCCATTCATGCAGTTGGCCCCGCCCTTTTACTTAGGCTCCGCCCAGATCCATTAAGGCCCACCTCTTCCCTCAGGGCTTCCCTCAACCCCTCAGGACCAGCTCCCTCAAATCCCGCCCCAGATCTATTTAACCCATGCACCAGAACCTCAGGCTCCACCCAAATCGAATAAGCTCAGCCTCAGACCCACTAAACCCCTCCCAGCATCCACGTAGGCCCTGCCTCCATCACACAAGACCCCGCCCCCTGATCTAGAAAGCCCCGCCCCATTCCCACAGGCCGCATCCTCCCTGGGCCCAGATCCAGGACCGCGGCTTCGACCCACCACCCTCACCGTAGGTCTCGGCCATGACTCGGTCGCGACCGCTGAGGGCCGCAATATGGCGCCGCGGCCGCGCCTGCTCCTCGGCTGGCAGCCGCTCCACTCCGGCTACAGCCCCGGCTCCTTCCTACTCCCCGGGCCCGGCACCGCCACTTCCGCCTCCGCCCCCCTCCGGCGCCACCCGCTCCGGCTGCGGGATACCAGGCCACGCTTTCCGAAAGGTGGGATTGGCGGACTCGCGGGCAGGGGGCGGGACAAAAGGCGCGGATTGGCGACGTGAGAGGAGCCAAGCCCAAAGGGGTGGGGCAGGTACCACTGATTGGTTGCCCAACTGGGAAGGGACGTGCAGAGTGCAGAGCTGCTTCCCTGAGCTGAGGAACGGATTTGGTCGGGAGTCCGGGGGCAGAGTCGAGGCTCCGGATTGGATCGGAGCGGACTTGGGGGAGGGGATACAAATGCAAAATAGGGGGTACGGGCAGGATTGACAGAAAGAGGCTGGAAGAGGAGCGGATCTTGAGCTAGCGGGAGCGATTTCTGGCCTCAAAGGCAAAAAGAAGAAAAACTGGGAAGATACGCGTAGGGTACTTCCCACCTCCCTTTGCAGATAATCTCCCAAGAAAACCTTTGCTGTGCGATTTGTATCCTCCGCGTGGTCCGGTTGGCTCCCTCCCACTGGTCTAGAGAGGACACTACAATCCCCTAGTTGGGCTGCTTATGTTTTCTTTTGCTTTTATCTGAAACCTAAGCTTTGGAGCTCTCCTACTGCACAGAGCTTTCATCAGTGAAACTCTGCCTAGCACCCACTGATGTTACCACATGCAGCGGATTAATTAGTTAGATTCAGGAACCTAGAGAAACATTTCATTTGCAGTCCCCATTCCACTCTACCCTACCCCAAAGACCACAGAGACAGGCCGTTTGCACTGGGCTGATGTATTTGCATAAAGCCGAGGAGGGGAAACGGCAGGGCCAGCGGTAGGCTGAGCTCACTGGCAGTAGAAATCCCATTTCTGAAAAAGAGAAAGGGGAAACAGTGGAGAGAAAACCAGCGGTCACACCACAAAGGATCTAGTGGTTTTAGCAAAGGCTGCAGCTGCAGGGCCCAGGTCTGGCCACACAAGTGCTATGCAAATTAGCCCAGAGCCCTCTAATCTTTGCACCTCCCAACTGCACCCATTTTACTGGTGAGAAAATTGAGGCAGAGAAAGAATTTGTCCCAGCGCATACCTCTAGGCTGGCAGGGAGCCAAGGGTGGGAGCATCTTTGCCCATTCCCACAACCTAAGGGTCCTCCCTCCAGATTTCTTGCCAGCCCCCATGACACTCACGTCTGTCTTCACATCCACTCTGGCAGGTTTCAGGGTCTGGTCCTCTCTCACAATGCTACTTGGGAAGTAGCCCAGGCGAGCGGCCACATCTCCATAGTAATCTCCCTGAACCTGGGGAAGAGGAGTTAAAAGCTAAGGTCTGGGAAGATGGCAAGCTTGTGCCTGCTGAAGGCCTTTGCATTCTCCCTTCTCCCTGATCTCCACATTACTGGCTCTTTGTCATATGAATCTCAACTGAAATGTCACACAAATCGAATCTCAGCTTAAATGTCACCTGTTCAGAGGCCCTTCCTGACCACCCAAGTCAGTCTCTATTAATTCTCACAGCAGTGCATATTTACTTTTATTTTATTTATTTATTTAGAGATGGAGTCTTGCTCTGTCGCCCAGGCTGGAGTGCAGTGGCGTGATCTCGGCTCACTGCAACCTCTACCTCCCTGCTTCAAGCCATTCCCCTGCCTCAGTCTCCCAAGTAGCTGGGATTATAGGTGTGCGTCACTATGACTGGCTATTTTTTGTTGTTGTTGTATTTTTAGTAGAAATGGGGTTTCACCATGTTGGCCAGGTTAGTCTCGAACTCCTGACCTCAGGTAATCTGCCCGCCTCAGCCTCCCATAGTGCTGGGATTAGAGGCATGAGCCACTGTGACCAGCCTGCTTTTATTATTTTGGAGACAGGGTCTCACTCTGTGGCCCAGGTTGGGGTGCACTAGCATGATCACAGCTCACTGCAGCCGCAACTTCTGGGCTCAAACAATCCTTCACCTCAGCCTCCCGAGTAGCCGGGACACAAGCCATTTTTAATTTTTTTGTAGAGATGGGGTCTTGCCATGTTGCCCAGGCTGTCTTGAACTCTTGAGCTCAAGCAATCCTGCCACCTTGGCCTCCCAAAGTGTTAGGATTACAGGTGTAAGCCACCATGCATGACTGCTGCTATTTTTTATGACCTGCTTTTTGCTCATTTCCCTCCATTAGAATAAAAAGGATCATTCATTGTTGTATCTTGGTGTCTAGAACAGAACATGGCACCATAGCAGATGCCCTAAAATTGGTAAATAAAGTGAAAATAGGCCAGGGGAGGTCGCTCACACCTGTAATCCCAGCATTCTGGGAGGCTGAAGCAGGCAGATCGCAAGGTCAGGAGTTCCAGACCAGCCTGGCTAACATGGTGAAACCCTGTCTCTACCAAAAATACAAAAATTAGCCGGGTATGGTGGCATGTGCCTGTAATCCCAGCTACTTGGGAGGCTGAGGCAGGAGAATCGCTTGAACCCAGGAGGCGGAGGTTGCAGTGAACTGAGATAGTGCCATTGCACTCCAGCCTGGGTGACAGAGCAAGACTCTGTCTTGGAAAATATAAATAAACTAATTAATAATATAAAGTGAAAATAGGCCAGGCGTGGTGGCTCACGCCTGTAATCCCAGATACTCGGGAGGCAGAGGTTGTGGTGAGCCGAGATTTCACCATTACACTCCAGCCTGGGCAACAAGAGTGAAACTGGGTCTCAAAATAAATAAACAAATAAATAAATAAAGTCACAATATCCTCCCACAATGTCTATTTCAGTTCACTCTCCTCAAATCTTCCCTTCACGGAAATAATGAGTTTACCCCAGCCCTGTACCCTTCCCTCTTTCACTCTCCCAAGACTCACGCTGCCTCCCCAGAAGAGCCGCCCACGGCCCTTCAACTTGGAGAAGACATACACCACTTGGCCCCGGTGAATGGTCAGGAATCGGCAGTCAGGGGCCACGTAGTCCTGAAGGGCCACAGCCATGGAGATTGGGTCTGGGGAAGGAATAGAAGGGAATGCAGTATCTCCCACTCAGGCTAATACCCTGAGTCCCCAGTTCTCCCCTCCCCACACTCACGGCTGCACTCCTGGTCCGCACACAGCTTCCGGTCAGCCAGCTTGGGCATGGGGCCGCCCCTGACACCAGGTCCTGGGAAGGCAGATAGCAAGATGACCCCAAGGAACACCAGGGACCAGGCCATCGTTAACTGTGAGCAAGGGAGTGAGCAAGGGGGTACGTGGGTCTCCAATTTCCTCCCCTCCCTCTCTCCCACAGCACAAGGAAACTTGTGTTCTTGATCTTGTCCCCGCCCTTAACCAGTCCCAAATTTCGCCCACACCACCTAGAGGTTGCTACCCAGCCAGAACCATTTCAAGGACAGGGTAAAGGCTGCAAGCCCAACGAAATTCCCAGATAAGGTCCAAAGCAGCTCACAGCTTTCCAACCAACAGCCCCCTCCTCGGCGATCACAGAGGCCCAGACAAGGAGGTTGAGGTATTCAATTCCATCTTCTCTTGAGTTGGCTTAGGTACCTGGGCTCCAGCGGAGGAGCCTGTAAGGAAAACCACCTTGGAATTTCCTGTGCTGTTGGGCAGGAGAACAAGGCAGCCCTTTGATTACGAGAAACAGCCCAGCTCTCGAGTACTGTCTGAATATTGTATTTTCAACCTTAGGCTAGGCAATGTCCCACCATGATCACTATTCCTCCGCACCAGCGGCTTCTTACTGGATGACCTCTGCTAAGCTATTTCTCCTCACAGAACCTCGGCTTCCTTGTATGTAAAATGGGGACAATAATAAAAGCCTGGTCGGATGCAGTGGCTCACGCCCGTAATTGAGGCCAAGACAGGCAGATCACGTGGTCAGGAGTTCCAGAACATCCTGGCCAACATGGTGAAACCCTGTCTCTATTAAAAATACAAAAATTAGGCCGGGCATGGTGGCTCACGCCTGTAATCCCAGCACTTTGGGAGGTCGAGGTGGGTGGATCACGAGGTCAAGAGATCGAGACCATACAGGTCTCTACTAAAAATACGAAAAATTAGCTGGGCATGGTGGCGCATGCCTGTAATCCCAGCTACTCGGGAGGCTGAGGCAGGAGAATTGCCTGAACCCAGGAGGCGGAGGTTGGGTGAGCCAAGATCGGGCCATTGCACTCCAGCCTGGGTAACAAGAACGAAACTCCGTCTCAAAAAAAAAAAAAAATAAATAATAAATTAAAAAAATAAAAATACAAAAATTAGCGGAGTGTGGTGACGCATGCCTGTAGTCCCAGGTACTCAGGAGGCTTAGGCAGGAGAATCGCTTGAACCCGGAGGCAGAGGTTGCAGTGAGCCGAGATCATGCCACTGCACTCCAGCCTGGATGGAGCAAGACTTGTTCTCAAAATAATAATAAAAGCCAATAGTTATGGAGCATTCACTAAGTATGTATTTGTTATGAACTCAGATGGATACTCTGTATCATATCAGGAGTAGTAATTATAATAACCCTCCCCACTTTTTTTTTTTTGAGACAGGGTCTCACTCTGTTGCCCGGGTGGAGTGCAATGATGCCGTCACAGCTCACTGCAGCCTCAACCTCCTAGACTCAGGCAATCCTCCCACCTCAGCCTCCTGAGTAACTGGGACTAGAGGCACAAGCCACCTATACCCGGTTAATCCATTTTAAGATTATTTTGAGAGAGGGTCTTGCTCTGTTGCCCAGGTTGGAGTGCAGTGGCATAATCATGGCTCACTGTAGCCCCTACTTCCTGGGCTCAAGCAGTCCTCCTGCCTCAGCCTCCTGAGTAGCTAGAACCACAGATACACAGCATGATGGCCAGCTAATTTTTTGTGTTTATCATTTGATAGAGACAAGGTTTCGTTATGGTGCCAAGGCTCATCTCAAACTCTTGGGCTCAAGCAGTCTGCCCACCGTGGCCTTCCAAAGTGCTGGGATTACAGGCATGAGCCACCAAGTCCTGCCTAATTTAATTTTTTGTGGCAGGACCTTGCCGTTGCTCAGGCTGATGTATAGTGATGTGTCATAGCTCACTGCATCCTCAAACCCCTGGGCTCAAGAAATCCTCCCCTCTCAGCCTCCCGAGTAGCTGGGACCACAGGTGGGCCACCATGCTTGGATGATTTTTTTTTTTTCATTTTTGTAAAGCCGATGTCTTACTACGTTGCCTGGACTGGTCTGGAACTCATGTTCCCAAGCAATCCTCCTGCCTTGGCCTCCCAAAGCACTGGGATGAGCCACTAATGCCCGGCCTATAACTCCTTGTTACATGGAAATGGAAGTATTAAGGAAATTGTCTCAGGCTTATACAGTCAGAATTGGAGAAGTGGAGAAGGTAACCCTTGTATCCAGGCCCACAGCCATTGCTATAGTATCTTTAGTATCTCTATAGATATCTACAATATCTTTAGTTTTTTTTTTTTGAGATGGAGTCTCATTATAGTGCAGTGGTACATTCTTGGTTCACTGCAACCTCCACTTCCCGGGTTCAAGAGGTTCTCCTGTCTCAGCCTCCCGAGTAGCTGGGATTATAGGCGCCCACCACTTTACTGGACTAGTTTTTTTTTTTTTTGAGACTGAGTTTCACTCTTATTGCCTGGAGTGCAATGGTGTGATCTTGGCTCACCAAATCCTCTGCCTCCCAGGTTAAAGTGATTCTTCTACCTCAGCCTCCCAAGTAGCTAGGATTACAGGTATGTACCATCATGCCTGCCTATTTTTTTATTTTTAGTAGAGATGGGGTTTCTTCATGTTGGTCAAGCTGGTCTTGAACTCCTAACCTCAGGTGATTCACCCCCCTCAGCCTCCCAAAGTGCTGGGATTACAGGCGTGAGCCATCACGCATGGCCTAGTTTTTGTATTTTTAATAGATTTGGGGTTTCACCATGTTGGCCAGGCTGGTCCCTAACTCCTGACCTCAAGCGATCTGTCTGTCTCAGCCTCCCAAAGTGCTGGGATTACAGATGTGAGCCACAGCGGCTGGCCTACTATGCTCTCTTACTAACAGGGCCGTGTTAGGGGTTAAACACATCCATTCAATGGATTTGCAGGGCACACAGAGGGCAAAGGAACATGTTAAGGACCTCGCAACAATGCAACCAACAAATCCAGACCACGAGTGTGTCAATAAGACAAATAAACTGCCTGGGAAGAGGGAAAAATGGGCCTGAGGGGTGGCCTAGATTTCAAAAGACGTAAGAACCATAGCAGCAGTCACAACGTGTAGACCTTGCTTGGATTATGATTTAAAGTGTTTTCAGACTTATGTATAAAAATATTGAAAATCTGAACACTAGTCACATATGTAGTGATGGTAAAAAAAAAACTTGCTGTTTTGGGTGTAGACACAGCATTGTGGTTATTTTTCAGATACATAGATGCTCCTCAGTGTATGATAGGGTTAAATCCTGATAAACCCACCGTTAAGTTGAAAACATTTTAAGTGGAATTTCTTTTCTTTTCTTTTCACTCTCTCGAGGAATGACTCAGGCTCACTATAACCTCCACCTCCCTGGGTTCAAGCAATTCCCCCACCTCAGCTTCCTGAGTAGCTGGGACCACAGGGGCATGCCACCACACCCGGCTAATTTTTTTTATATTTTTTGGTAGAGACAGGTTGGTCTTGAACTCCTGATCTCATGACCCACCTGCCTCAGCCTCCTAAAGTGCTGGGATTATAGGCATGAACCATTGTGCCAGGCCTGAATTTTTTTTTTTTAACAGACAGGGTGTCACTCTGTCCCCCAGGCTTGAGTGCAGTGCCGCAGTCACAGCTCACACAGTCTTGACAGACTGGTCTCAACCTATCCTCCCACCACAGCCTTCTAAGTAGCTGCGGCTTAAAGTGTGAGCCACTGCACCTGGCTTCAAAATGCAGTTTGTTTTTTTTTTTTTTTGAGATGTTGTTTCATTCTTGTTGTCCAGGTTGGAGTGAAATGGTGTGATCTTTGCTCACTGCAACCTCTGCCTCCTGAGTTCAAGTGATTCTCCTGCCTCAGCCTCCCAAGTTGCTGGCATTACAGGCGTGCACCAGCTAACTTTGTATTTTTAGTAGAGATGGGGTTTCACCATGTTAGTCAGGCTGGTCTCGAACTCCTGACCTCAAGTGACCCACCCACCTCGGCTTCCCAAAGTGCTGGGCGGGCACGAGCCACTGCGCACAGCCCTGAAATGCATTTAATACCTGGATAAGCCCACTGTGAAGTCAAAAATCTGTAAACTGAACCACAGTGAGTTGAAGACTATCTGTACTTAAATTCTGATTAAGAGTGAGCTAATAGGATGTTTTCTCAAAATAATTTAAAAAGGAGAGAGAGTGGAGGCCTGCTTGAAATTCAGATGGCCACAAGTTGGTACGTGAAGCTGGTGGAAGGGAATATGGAGGTTCAGAAACTATTGTCTTTTTAAAAAAATTATTATTATGTATGTTTGAACTTTTCCACTTTAAAACATTCTTTAAAAAAATTATTCCTTTGGCCGGAGCGGTGGCTCACGCCTGTAATCCTGGCACTTTGGGAGGCGGAGGTGGGTGGATCATGAAGTCAGGAGTTTGAGACCAGCCTGGCCAAATAAGTGAAACCCCATCTCTACTAAAAATACAAAAAATTAGCTGGGCGTGGTGGCGGACGCCTGTAATCCCAGCTGCTTGGGAGGCTGAGGCAGGAGAATCATTCAAACCCAGGAGGCGGAGGTTGCACTGAGCCGAGATGTCTCCAATGCACTCCAGCCTGGGTAACAGTGTGAAACTCCATCTAAAAAAAAAAAAAAAAAAATTACTCCTTCATTCAGGCCGGGTGCAGTGGCTCACTCCTGTCATCCCAGCACTTTGGGAGCTGAGGCAGACAGATCACTTGAGGTCAGGAGTTTGTGATCAGCCTGGCCAACAAGGTGAAAATACATGAATTAGCCAGGTGTAGTGGCACACACCTATAGTCCCAGCTACTTGGGAAGCTGAACCAGAATCACTTGAAGCTGGAAGGTGGAGGCTGCAGTGAGCCAAGATCATGCCACTGCACTCCAGCCTGGGCGACAGAGTGAGACCCTGTCTCAAAAAAAAATAATAATAATTTATTCATTCATTAAAGATGTCATGAGTACATAAAGTATGCTAGGCTTTGATCCAGACCCTGGAGATTCATCAAGGAATGAAAATTAAAGACCTCTGGTTAGGTACAAAGTTCAGGAATATGATATTGTGTGAAATATTAAAGGTACTCAGAAAAAACACTCAAGAATCAGCTGTCGGCTGGGCACAGTGGCTCACGCCTGTAATTCCAGCACTTTGGGAGGCCAAAGTGGGCAGATCACCTGAGGTCAGGAGTTGGAGACCAGCCTGGCCAACATGGTGAAACCCTGTCTCTACTAAAAATACGAAAAATTAGCCAGGCCTGGTGGTGCACACCTGTAATCCCAGCTACTCAAGGAGGCTGAGGCAGGAGAATCACTTGAACTAGGGAGGCAGAGGTTGCAGTGACCTGAGATCATACCACTGCGCTCCAACCTGGACAAGAGTGAAACGCCATCTCAAATAAAAAAAAAAAAAGAATCAGCTGTGGGGACAGTGTCTCCTGCCCCATACTACTGATGAACCCACAAAGTAGCAGTGACTTCAATTCCCAAAGCCAAATGCATGTATCTGCTGCTGCGTTATTACCCTAAGACCAACACTGGCTGAGTGCAGTGGCTCATGCCTGTAATCCCAGCTCTCTGGGAGGCCGAGATAGGACTGCTAGAGCCTAAGAGTTCAAGACCAGCCTAGGTAACACAGTGAGACGCTTTAGCAACAAAAAGAAAAAAACAAGAAAAGAAAAACTAGCTGGGCGTGGTAGTATGCACCTAGAGTCCCAGCCACTTAGGAGGCTGAGGTTGGAGGATCACTTGAACCCAGAAGGTAGAGGCTGCAGTGAGCTGTGATCCTGCCACTGCACTCTAGAGCAAGACCCTGTCTGGAAAAAAACAAAAAAAAGACCACAATTATCACCTTTTCTGTGGGTTGGATGCCTCAGGCTCAAGGTCTGCTTTTTTTTTTTTTTTTTTTTTGAGACAGAGTTTCGCTCTTTTCACCCAGGTTGTAGTGCAATGGTGTGATCTCAGCTCACTGCAACCTCTGCCCCTGAGTTCAGGCAATTCTCCTGCCTAAGCCTCCTGAGGAGCTGGGATTACAGGCACACGCCACCATGCC